CCCCAAAGAGCCAACGTTTTCTCTTGAACAGGACTAGGCACCTTTGTTTTCAGAAACACTGCTGTAACTACAAAGGAAAATGCTGCTCACTCCAGCAATGAGTATATCGATGTTGAGAAATTGATGGCGAAAGGACCAATTTTCAGGGGAGAGGGGAGTATTTGCCATAAAATATTTAAAGCTAGTTGACAAATAGCCCCACTAGTCTCCTGTGCATGCCAGCCACTGGATTAATCTTGAAAGGAAGGAATATTTCATTCTGTGCGTAAAGCCAAGGGGAAGGACCGACCTTCTTGTACACCCCGGAGTGCCAGGGATGGGGAAGCCTCCCACCACCGCAGCCCCATGCCCTGCGGTGTTTCCACGTCTGCTTTTAAACTTCAAAGGAACAGTAAAGCAAAAATAAACAAATTACGGCAGCATACAGAGCTCCTCTGTAAACAGTGAAGTGCAGGTGTTGTAACAGCCACTGATGGAGGTGGGGTGGGGGTTGCAAACATTTACTCCATGAAAATGTCAGTCTTTGGTTTTCAACATTCAGCTGTTACTGTAAACAGTAGTCCTGACACACGCGTCCACTTCTCTACACTCATCCTCTGTGGCTGAGTGGTCACAGCCACTGATGTGACATGTAATTGGCGGTGTCCTTGGGAACCATGTGTGGAGTCATTTGTTCCTTGGTCTACTCATGTATTCAACACATGCCTGCTGAAAGCACTGATTATGTGCAAACGTGGTAGGGGACACAAAGGCTGGCCAGATAAGGACCCTGCCCCCTGGAAGCTCTTAATGGAGTCCGGAGATAGAATATGTTGCAAATTTACCAGCCAAACAGGACAGAGCATGTGCCAATGGAGCGGTCAGGAGAAAGGATTAGAGGAATTCAATGGGAGAGCCGGTGTCAGGCTTGGGGATCAAGGAAGATTCTCTAGGAAGTGGCTTCCACTTGAACTTTCATGATAGGGAGGGTGCCCAGCAGGGAGGACATAGGAAAGGCAGGTGCTGCCCCCTTTGCTGGGCCAGGCACAGCGAGAAGGAGTTGCATTTATGAAGGGGAGAACAGGAAATAGGTTTGGGAAGGGAAGGTGGGAAGACTTTAAATGCTAAGTTAGATGAGAGCTGAAACTAAATTGTTTAATCCAAAATAGACCAAATTATCAACACTTCTTTCATCCATAGCTTTTTTAATATTTGAAGAAAGGAGGTATTTGTATCTTAAAAAATCTTTCTTCAAAAGGACCTAAGATCTTTATAGTACCAATATGTCTCTTTCCATTGGCTAAATAAATAAATAAATGTAGCCACTGCCTAGAATTAAGGACATACATGAATGAATAAAATGCACAAGCTTATATATACATTTGGAGAAATGGTTTGGGAGGCCCACAAACATGTTCTGAGCCTTCTGAGGGGCTTAGCGTCATGTGCCAGCACCTCCTGCTCATTCACTGATATTAAATGTTTGAAAGAGCAGCAAGCACTTGAGGCCTCCGAACCAAAGAAAAATGCCAGTGAGCGATCACGCCTGCTGAGCTTTCTCCACTGGTGATGGCTTTAACATTCCACATGATTAACCAGCTTTCAGAGTTTAGTTCTGGAATCTAGAGCTTTTCCCTGGTTCTTCAAAATAATGGGCTTCAGAGTCCCCCTCCACCTCCACCCACAAGCTAAGCCTCCCCAGTCATCCCATTTCTATTCAGCTGGTCTGTTTGTTATCTTTACATCCTGCTCCTGGTTTGGGAGCCAGTGGGAAAATGTTAGTCTGTCTTATTCTACATCTGTATGGCACAGGGTGCCTTAGGGGTGCCCTCACAGCAAGTGCCCCTCTGTCCTGTCTCTTCAGCTATCAATTTGGGGCAATAACAATAATCTACTTCACAGGACCACACTGCATGTTCTCCCACAGCTATACACTGAGTGGCCAGACTATAATGATCTTTGAATGTATAATAATCTGGCCACTCAGTATATATATTGGAGGCCCGGTGCATGAATTCATGCTTAGGTGGGGTCTGGCCAGTCCAGCCAGGGAGAGGGGACATGGATGGTTGGCCAGCCTGCCTGCTGGTCGAATTCCTGGTCAAGGGGACAATTTGCATATTGGCCTTTTATTATATAGGATATACACTGAGTGGCCAGATTATTATGCATTCAGAGATCATAATAATCTGGTCACTTAGTGTATAGCCCTATGAAGGTAGCTATTGTCCTCCAAACTGCAAAAAACAGAATTTGATGTCTTTGTGAGACTTCTGAGACGAGTCATGAAACCTGTTGCTCAGTTTGAGCCAAGAAAGGTATTAACGTTGAGCCAGAAATTGGACATTTTCCCTCGTAGAAGAAGTCACGGCTGATTAGGTATCTCCAGGTGCAATGGAGAAAGCATATTCAAACAGTAGATTCAGTCTTTTTTTATTTTATTAAATACATTTTTTTTATTTTTATTTTTTTACAGAGAGGAAGAGAGAGGGATAGAGTTAAAAACATCGATGAAAGAATCATCGATCAGCTGCCTCTTGCACAACCCCCACTGGGGATGTGCCCGCAACCAAGGTACATGCCCTTGACTGGAATTGAACCCGGGACCTTTCAGTCCCCAGGCCAACGCTCTATCCACTGAGCCAAACCAGTTTCAGCCATAGATTCAGTCTTTTAAGTGAACCATTTACTGTCACTCCTGAACTTGATGTCAATTACTTTGCCATTATCAACTCATTGAGTCTTCACAGCGCCCTGTGTCAGAGGGCCTTGGTTGCGGGTGCAGAAACTAAGGCTCAGTGAGTGTAAGTACTGCTCAAGGTCATATAGCTAATAAGTGGCGGGACCAGCGTTTGAAACCAGATGTTATCGTCTTCAGAACCCAGATGGTGACCACTAAGTGGCAGCCACGTTAGATAGATGCCCATCTAAGGACCTTGAGGGACACGTGGGTTTCCTGTCAAACAAGTAGATGCTGCCTTCGACCAGAACTCTGGGGAACAGGAAGCTCCATTCTGCTAGAGAGGTCAAGGTTGTGATGGGCCATATGTCCCTTCAAGGGCTAGCTCCAGCGTAGGCTGCATGAAGGCTGCCTGGCACAGAAAGAGGCAACATTCGGTGGGAGGGTGGGTGGGGGTGCGTGGGTCTCTTTATACCAGGCCGGAGGTTTCAAGTTCCATTAGATGAGGCTCAGGGAGGCTCTGACCACAGTGACTGGAGAGAGCTCATGAGCCCTCAACTATTCATCCAGCTGCATTAAAAACACACACACACACACAGAAGCCTTAAAAAACAGTTTAAATCAACTAGGAAATGTGACAGGGGTGCATCATTCAACATTTATTCCTCGCTGCTGTGTGTGAGGCCAGTGAGGCCAGTGGTTGGTGCCCCGCCCCCGGACTGGCTGCTGCGCTGTGTCCCTCCTAATTATTTTTAAACTATGTCTTTTTAACCAGATTTTTAAAAATGGAACTTCCCCAAATGCTTTCCACTTTGCTACATAATGAGAGCACTTTCATCCCTTTAATGTTTGCTCTTCCCTTTGATCTAACAATTTCTGTTCAGATTTTACAGTTTTCTGTTGCTTCCGGATTGAAAGAACTGATTACCCTGCTGGGAGCGTGAAATAGACTTTTTTTTTTTTTTTAATCTGCATGGTATTTCCTCCCAGCGAAATGAATGTAGGTTTAAATACAGGGGGAAGGGACAGCACCTGGTGCTCCAGCTCTCTCTCTCTCTCTCTCTCTCTCTCTCTCTCTCTCTCTCTCTCTCTCTCTCTCTCTCTCTCTCTCTCTCTCTCTCTCTCCCACCTGAGCAGGGCCTCATCCTGAAAAGGCCCAGCGGGACCTGTGGCCAAGGCTTCTGCCTTCTGTGGGATCCTCTGCCAGAGGAAGTAGAGAGCCTCCCTCTCGGAGACGCCGGCTTGGTGCGGGCCTGGTGCTGCTATATTTGGAACGTGTCTGCTTCCTTGAAGGCTAACCTCAGAAGCCCAGCGGGCCCCTCGGGCGGGCACCGTCCCAGGCTGGGGCACCGGGGCAGCTGGATGGGCTTGCTGGGTGTTGTGAGGGTGTTTCCCCAAACTTACCTTCTTGCAGGGCTGGGACCATCCGCTCCAGAGCAACAAAGGACAGTTTGGAGGGGAGTGGAAGGAGCGCTCCCCAGGCCCCTGGCTTCCCAGGCCCCCTTCCGCCAAACTCCGTGTCCTCAGTGACCCCGCCTTCCCCCACCTCCACCCCTTCACCCCTGCACGCCGCTCCTCAGTCTGGCGGGGCTCAGCGAGCCCCAACACCTCCTCCCCGCTCTGGTCCCGTTCAAACCCTCAGAGCGGCTCTGCGCCCGCAGCCCCACGCGCCCGCGCCCCCCGCGGCTTCCCGGCGCCCAGGGGGCCCGCTCCTCCGTCCCGCGCCCTCCCGCCCCGCAGCCCGCAGCCTCCCCGCCAGCCCCCGCGGCAGGTGCGGTGCAGCCCGCGCAGCCGACCCAGCTCCCGGCTCCCGCGTCCCCTCTCCTTCCTTTGTGTGCGCGCGCGAGCGGGGCTGGGGCGGAGGGAGGAGGGGGAGGCCGCTCTGTCTGTCTGTCTCCCGCCGCCCCTGCCCGGGCTGCTCGGAGCGTGCGGCTGGGGAGCGGGAGCGCCGGGGAGGGTGCGGGAGCTGGCGGGGCGGCTCAGGGACACCCGGGCGCCCGTCCCTGCCTGCGCGGGGGAGCGCTCACCGGGCTGGAGGCACGATCGGTCGGATCGGTCCGCCCCCGGGCCTCCCTCCGTGCCCACCTACCTACCCGCGGACGCCCGGGGAGCGGCGCGCTCCGGCGCCCAGCCGGAGGGAAACCACAAATAAATAGCGGCGGCGGCAGCGCGTCATCTGGCGGAGCAGGAAGTGCAGGCAGAGTCCAGGGCTGGTGCTCGCGGCGCCGCCGGGACTTGGCCATGGGCTGGGGGCCGCGGCAGCCGCGAGCGGCCGGGCGAGGGCAGCGCAGGCTGCGTCCTCACCGGGGCTGAGCCGCCGCGACCAGCGGGGCGCGCGGAGATGGCCGCGTCCAGCAACTCCAGCCTGTCCGGCTCCTCCGTGTCCTCCGGTGAGTGCCCGCCCGCCCGCCGGGCGCGGCTGCGAGCCGGGTCCCTTGCCCCCTGCCCGCGCCCCGCGCCCCGGGGTGGGCAGCGCCTGCCGCGTCCGCCCTGCCCGCGCCCTCGGAGTGGGAGCGAGCGTCCGGGGTGACACTTGTCGGGGTGGCCGGCACCCTCGGCGCCCGCTGACATCTGACAGCGTGGAAATGGGGAGCCGGGGCGCCCCGAGTTTGCGGACGCGGGCGATCGGGGGTCGGAGAGCGGCGGGGAGAGGCGGGAGGAGCGGGGCAGGCTCTCACTTTCGGGCGCCGCTGGAGCCGGGGCTGGCGGGGCGGGGAGGGAAGCTTAGGGGCGACTCGGGGCGCCCTGACCAAGCTGGATGCCCCGAATTCAAGGCACAGGGGAGCAAACCCTCGCTCCTCCTGGCAGACTCGATTTTCTTTGTTTGTTTCGGAAATTAGCTCCGTGGAGATAGGCGCTTGGGGCATGGGTTTGAGATGGAAGCAATGAAGGGATTGTGTCCTTTGGTCCTGATTGAAGTGAGTTAGCAAACAGGAGGCAGAGCCCAGCCACTGACAATTTGCCTGTCGTGTGTGTGTGTGTGTGTGTGTGTGTGTGTGTGTGTGTGTGTGTGAGAGAGAGAGAGAGAGAGAGACATAGAGAGAGAGAGAGAGAGAGAGAGAGAGAGAGAGAGAGAGAGAGAGAGAGAGATTTTCCCTGTGTGGCCTCTTGGAATACGCTCTGTAATTTTACTTTCCAGGCATACATTTTTTTCCCTCCAAGTGCAGCTGAGCAAAGGGAGGGCTTCTTTCAGCTTTTCTGTGGTTGATCAGCGGGTTTAATTGAAGAGGGAAAAATTGCGAATGAATCCAAAGGAGCAGGAATCAATAGAAGTACCCCCCACCCCCCTACCCCGTTTCTGATTATGACAGAAATCAATTGCAATGATGCATTAGGTAGAATTCTTCTACCTCTCTGACCCCTGGAAACTTTAATGACAAACCTTCAAGGGCTGTCTGATAAGACATTCAGTGTAGTGCACAGTACTCAGGGGTCAAGTCAAGAAGGTCTCGAAGGCCCAATGGGAATGCTCAGTGCATTAATATGATAGTAATTCCTATTGTGTGGTGGTGGAGTTTTACTGTGACCCAAAATTAAATTCCAAAGAAGAAGCACCTCCTTGGAGGCATTAGACAGCAAGCCAGGCATGGCGGCACCATATCTGTAGATGTGTGACTAATTAAATCATAAAAGCCAGGTGAATCCGACGAAGGTGCAATTGTGATGTGCCACAGGTGATCGCCTGAAAGCCAGCTGTTATCTTTCTTGGCAAGTTTAGTTCCAGAGAAACAGCGCTTCCTTTCTCTGATCACTGCCAGCTAGCCAAAAGCACAGGGTTGTTCGGCCTGTGGTATAGTTACCAGTTCAAGTTCCTCCTTGTAGTAGCCAATGGGGCAGAGCAGTGGTGTCTGATTAAGAGCAGCAACAAGTTGACCGCCTGTGGTTTGAATTCTGAAAACTCAGCAAATGCTGCAGCTTATTTTTAGTACCCCCCAAACCACGGCTGCTGCTTTTCAATTCATCTTGGTTGACTAACATTGCATTTAAAATACAGTGATGTTGGCTCACGATTAGCAGATGGTTAGCCTCTCATAAAAATTCCCACTTGGAAAATCAACTCAGGAGGGAGACTTGGCCAGGGGAAGGGAGAGCGGAGGGAGGGCCCGGAGGCAACAGTTTCCCATGATTGATTGACTGAGGCTATGAATGATGGGTGACATGGCATCTGAATTCTCAGGTGTTGATGTAGCTCAAGGACTCTTTTTGGAGAAGCTCAGCCTTCAGAAGAACATGTGGACCCGAGGCACCGTGTCAGCTTTAGGGGAGGGTCAGTGCTTTGCAGGCTGGCTAGAGATGCTTGTGCTGGTTCTCTCTGCTGCTCAGCCACCACTCTTTTAAATCCTCATAGAAGCTAGGGAATCACGTGAAAGCTGAAATTCAAAAACTGGGCATGGACATACTATTGGGTGTGAGTCTGCATGGACCAGAAGCTTATATCATCTAATTCACCAATTAGCCAGGCATTTTGTCTTGAAACATAATGAGAACTGTAGTTCCTTTTTAAAGCACACTTCTCAAGGTGTGGATCATGAATAATTCAGAGGACACAAGCAATTCACACCTGTGAGAGGTGTTGGGCAGGAAAGAATAGAGCTTGTTGGTGATGGCAGCTGGGTTCTCCCAGGCAAAGGTCGGAATCAGTCAGTCACCGGTTTTTTTTGTTTGTTTGTTTGTTTTTTAGGACCTACTATGTGCCAGGCAGTAAATCAGAGGCCTCAGCGCCAAGGACATTAAGTGAGGAAGATAATTTTAGGATTGCTTCTAGCTCTGAAGTTCTAGGATTATTGTCCTTGAGTTCTGGCACCACCACTGACCAGCTGGGTAACTTTAGGTGTTATTGAACTTTAAATATCAATTTACCTACCCATAAGCAAGGGCAGATGCTAGTAATAGGACCTACTTCAGAGGAATGGCCCGGATTAAATGAGATTATGTGTGTGGAGCATTTAGCACAGGATGTGGCACCTAAGTGCTTGGTGTGAATAAGCTTTGCTCGTTGGAGTAATGAGGGGAAAAAAGCAGTCACTAGCTTAGACTTTGGGTGCAGAAATAAGTCCCACACAGAGAAAAATCTGCCTCTTGCATTGCATGTGAAACTTGATCTTGAGGTCTGAGCTCCATTAAACAAGCATTTATTAAGTGTCTTTAAAGTTTCAGGCATTATCCCAAGTGTTTGGAATAGAGAGATGAGTGAAGACCCTTTCCCTCACCTTCCAGCATTAGCGGTGAACAAGCACAAATCAATCTGTATTAGTGAATTATGTGGGGGAGACCACAGGGAAGTGAGGGTGACCTCAGTATAGGGGAGTCAGTGGAGATAACCTATGAATTGAGCCTTGAAGCATGAGTAGGATTTTTCCAGAAATCAGAGAAAATGAAAGGTATTTCAGGAAGAGAAAAGAGCTCAGGTAAAGGCCTGGCGATGAAGTTCATGACCTGATTTTCAACTTCCTTTCTTAAGGCTATTGATCTTTTTTTCTTGGTGGTTCCTCTTCTCTGCACAGTTATACTCCTAAACCGCAAAGCAGCATCACTCCTGGAGCCCCCAGACTGCGGATGTAGGAGGCCTTCTTTCTGTTCAGGCACCCTGTGGTCAATGACATAGCCCTAGGAGATGTTTGGGCAATTGACAGTTGATTCTGCACATCCAGCATGTGGAGAGGTGAACTCGAATAACATGGGTTAAACCTCTCTTAGGGAAATAGCTGTGGGAGATACAGGCCTGGGTGTGTTTGCACAGATCTAATCCTTTGCTCAGTATTGAGCACAAAAGTTATCTGACTTTACTGAGAATGTTCGCACTTGCTGTTGAACCCCATCACCCACGTGTCATTTCATCTATCTGAAATGGACCTCCTTAATAGAAATATTATGGGGATTAAATGAGATAGTGTGTGTGGAGCATTTAGCAGAGAATGTAGCATCTAAGTGCTTGGTGTGAATAAATTTTGATCCTTGGAGGAATGAGAAAAAAAAAAGCGACACATAACAAATACAAAAATCAAGTTAAAATTAATTTTGAAAATACATTTTTTTTAGAACTCTTCAGAAATTTCCTCCTGGAACATTCAAATTATGTGTAAAAGAAATTGCTTTGCCTTTGTTTCAAAGATAACTGCTGGTAATTAAATTTCACAATCACCTAGATTGGTGAGAAGGTTTGATTACCTTTATTACTTTTTAAAATCGAAAAAAATAAAGTCTTTATCCTTAAGCCTTTGATTATACTGGGAAGTAAACAATGATTGACTTGCAAAATAGTTTTCTTAATCATCATGGGTTATAGTTGCTTTTATAATTGAAATAACATTTTGCATATAGTAATGTGATTGCAAAATGGATAATTGCACACAGTAAAGAAAAGAAAACTCAAGTAAACTAATAAGTAAAGACTATGAGATGTTTTTAAGTAACTAAACTAAGTAAAATATTCAATATTAAAGAGGCCCCTGGATAAGAAGTTGTTAAGATTTTGAGAACTCAAAGACACTGTATTATAGGAATGAAATCGACTTTTCAAATGTGAATGAAAAAGAATAAAAATCAGTACTAGATAGAGTTATCAAACCTCAATTGGGAAAAGAAGATTCTTGAATGGACTGGGGGAGTTATTTCTCCAGATTCTATGCAACAGTAATGTGGGGTAGGTAAATCCAGTCGTCCCTTGGTATCCATGGAAATAGGTTCCAGGACCCCAGAGGATACCAAAATCCAAGGATGCTCAAGTCCCTCATGTAAAATGGTCTATCTCAGTGCATACAGTCAGTCCTCCACATCTGTGGATAAAGGGGCCCACTGTAAAGCTATTTTCTGCTGTCACATGGGTATTGACAGTAGAGGTGATAAATAGGAATTTTCATCACTCATTATTGGAGGGCCGAAACCAGTGACATATACAAATCTTTCATAGTCCCAGATGCAGAAGGTAAAACTACAAGACTGCTGCCAAGACTTACATGTGTGTAACCAGAAACTCCCTGTAACTAACGCTGCAAAACGGGGTATCTTTGTCAAAACAGAGAAGTCTTCTTTTGGGTTCTTCAGAAAGATTCAGTTATGTCTAAAAGCAAGTTCTTTACCTTTGTTTTGGTGATCGCTGTTGGTAATTTAAATACACAATCACCTAGAGTGGCCAGGAGATTTGATTATCTTTATTATTTTAAATCACACAAAAAAAGAAAAAAAAATTGTGATTCCAAAAAACCCTCACATCTTTTTTAAAAACTCGGAGCTAAAATGACCCCCCTGAGAGACATTGTTTGCTAGGATTTGGATCGTTGTTCCTTGCTGTCTTTCTGGTGACCTTCTCACACCTCATTTTAACTTATTAGATTTTCACTGTCCATTTGAGGTAACCCCGACGGACCCAGGGATGTAGGATGGGAGGAGA